TTTGTTAAACCATATTTAAGAATTTTATTGTCACTTAACTACAAAAGTACTGGTAGATAAACACACATGTGGTGAATTATCATGGCATTCATCATGTTTTAATTACATCAGTAGTGTGATGAATAAATGAGAACTAGTCTATGGATAAAACTGCACKGTCCAAAAGCTTCTTGAYGCTGTTTTTCCTTGAAATTGTWGGAAAACAAAACAAAACAAAAAAAGGAAAACTAAGTTGTCAAGACATAAAAGGTAGAGTTGTGCCATAGATTAGAAACTCACACAGACAGAAAATGAAGGATTAAAAGATTCACTTGTTGCAGCAAAAGGCATCAGAACTGGGTCACAAGTTTATCTGATGGCTTAAATCAAGTATGTATCAAGTATCAAGTATCATTTATGACCTAGGAAGGGAAGCAAAACTAACACAACAATATTTGCCAACAACTTAAATTTCTTCCAAATCATTAAATAAAGGAGCGAACAAGACAGTAGAGACCATCTGCCTGCCTTATGAGCTTATTTCCATTGTAATACTTTTTAAAAAAAGGAACCCTACTTGCTCTTCACAGTAAAGAGCAAGAGAAAATTGCTCATTTTAAAAAGTATCCCACAGCTGAGCATCATCCTATGCACTCCAAATTTACAGTCACCATCAATTAAYTGATCTTTCTCTTTACCTTTTCAGTCTATATTGCCCCCTAAGGGGAATGAGCTCCCCAGAGGAACCCAATAAATTTAGAAAGGAAACCCGCTGCTGCAACTAGGCCATTAAACTTACACACCTTCCAGTCTTAAAAATCTCCAAGACTGTGACATTGTCTTTGTTTAAATACCAGTTTAAAACTCATTTGTCATAAGGACATTATATAATTTAGCCACAGCTCGGCAGTTGGCCGGATGACACCCAATTAATCCTAACGATTCTTCCTTCATCTACCACTATTATTGAAAGAACAGACTGATAAATTATACTGTGAAAGCGTGGAGTCACAGAGAGTTGGGTTGATTTATTTATTTATTTTTTTAAATTTGCATGGATAATACCAAACCCAGCAATTGCTTGTCCTTTCCCAAGGCCTCTGACAAAATAACAAAAATAACGGTGAGACATCCAAGAGGACAGGGTGACAGTATGTTTGTGGCAGCCAGATTTCAGCATTAATGACATTATTCTAACTTTAAGTACATTTTGGAAGTTGTTAAGTTCAAAAGTAATGGTCCCCATGCACCATAGAGATGAAAGTGTCTTTGTTGATAGCTCAGTAAATATTGTCTTTTATTGAGTGCTGTTAAGAAAACAATATTCTTCAGTCGTTACAAAACAGAGAATGCTCCGGTGACATTCTGCATGTGAATGAGATGTATCTCATCTAACAACACAGGTAACTGTTACCTTATTTCAATATACTCATAAAAAATAGGAAGAATTTAAGAAAGATTATCAAAAATGACTAAAACCATAGGTCCTAAATGAGGACCCCATAAYGAAGGCACTGTTACAGTGAACCGATAGACAGATATTCCATAAAACTAAAAAGCAGCGGAATTAACACTGATAATGAAAAACATCTTTTCCTATATGAAGGGAGCAAAACATGCTGTCACAGAAGCCAAAAAAGAAGCGATTTCTACTAATTCCYTGGGAAGTCTGAAGCCCTATTCCAGATGTTTGCTGCTGTAAATACCAACATACGGATCTGCTATCTCGGAAGCAGCCGTGCTGCGGACGGTGAGTGTCACTCACGCACAACAACTGCTCAAGGCAGCATTTCACATCCTTGAAAATATCAGTAAAGTCCGATCTGCCCTGAAACACACCACTGAGCTCATAACACCACCAAATCCCCCACCCCCATCATTTCCTGACTGAGAATTATAAACCCCTCAGGTACCATAGTGGGCTTCCTTGTATTTAAAGAGCTTTTTGTTTTGTTTGTTTAAAATTGCATTATTCTCAGTGTTTCCAACAAAGGAAATATATGGAGGCTAGTTATACTCATTTCTTATGTTCTACAGGACAAACCTTGCTTACAATCATAACAGGGGATGCAAGAGGGGTAATCACCGGTCATACAGGCTTTCAAATCAAAACAGCCCCCAAAGGCTGAATATTACATGAGCTAAATTGACCCCAGGGCCCCTTTTTAAAAGAGAAGTTCACTGCAGCACTTAAGCACTTTATGTTTTAGCAGTAGCACTTACATTCAACCTTGTCTTGTTTGCTCGATAGGAAGGGTAGGGCTTTTTCTCTATTATTATTTTACTAATAGGAAGGGTAGGGTTTTCTCTATTATTATTTTACTAATAGAAGTAAACAAGAGCATGAGCGATTCAGTAAAGGCATTGGGAGCTGAAAAAAATATTTCAAAACAAATGCAAACAAATTGCTTGACATCCAGGACAAAGGAGTCAACACAAACGCTCATGGAAGTCTTAAGAACAACTGCTACACCATATGATAAAGGGGTAAGAGTCATTTCAGAGCCTAACACATTTAAGACGGCAAAATAACTCTTTTCAACAGGTTTTCAATTTCAATCAGTTTAATATTCTACAGAAAAATGTAAGGCAATTAGTCATTCATCACCATGAAGGAGGAAAACTGCCTAGGTACAGATTCAGCAGGGCAGAAATAGACATTTTTTATTATTAAAAACATGAATCATTGTGCTTGGGGTACAGCAAGAGAAAAATGCAAATATGAAGTGCTATAGAAACAACATGTAACACCTTACCTCACCTTCACAACTCTGAATACACATTGGATTAGCTGCCATCATTTACTAATTCTTTAGAGAATGAATGGTGAGGAAGTGCATGTAGGCTTTGGGAACACAATGTAGCAATTTGTACTAAAATTAGCATATTAAAAACAAATTGTTACATGGCAGGAAGACTTAATTTGCATGACAAGCTTTCAGTTTAGCTCCTTAGCAGCTTTAGAAACCTAAGGAAAACATAATATTTGACTTGAACCTGCCAATGTGTTTCAAGCTTCGGGTCTTCAATGGTTTCTTACAAATTAGTTGCAATAACACAAAAAAAAATTAAAAATACCATCAATGTAGCTGTTACCAAGAGAGACAGAAGTCCAAAACTCATTTGCACTTCTATGTAAACTACATAACACATCAAATATAGGCTGTATATGAGTCCTAAAAACAGTACCATCAACTACAACATCAAAAATCATCACAACCGGAGAGACAAGAATCACCATTTTTCTACATTCCAGTTTGTTTTCTCCATTAGAATGTAGATTAACAGGACTATAAAGGCAGAGCAGCTGGCAGACCTCTGACCTTGACAGTGCTGTTACTATTATTGCTAATCTAAGCTATCTTGACAAAACCACTGAAAATACCTAAAATAAAACAGGCTTATTTACTGTTTGGCTTTTTAACATGGCCTATTTGAACCCTCTAGGTTACAGCACAACCCTTGCACAGAGCTGCTTTTGCACAACTGAAGGAATAGCAAATCCTGATCCTTGCAGGGGGACTAGAAGCCTTAAAACAGCTCTTCTGCGGTGGAAAACAAAATACGTAATTAATCTCTCATTCTTCAAAACAAGCATCTTTCTACCTCGCACCTCTAGTTTCGTTCACATCTTCTTTCTCTTGCCTAATCTAGGAGAGGACAAGGCCTACCAATTCGCAAGTCCAGAAAAACAGGGCTTATTTCAAACTTTACATGCACACAGGCAAATTTATTTTTACATGAGGGGGAAGTAACAGACTTTCCTCTTCCCTATGCAGATTATTTCACAAATTATTTTGACCACAAGGAAAGCATATAAATATACGTCTTGCAAAAATTCTATGTATTTAGAAACTCCTAAAATACGTCCCATTTTCGGACAGCAAATTTTGTTCCTTTTTCAAAGCGGACCTGCTTCTTTTAGCCATAAATTGACATACCAACTTCCTTTCTTCCTTGCTGTCTGCTATCCCATTCCCACACTCCCAAACCTGTTCATTTTGGCCCTTCACCCACGCCACTGTTTTCAGTGGAAAGTCACAGCATGGAAACCTTCCACCTCCCGCATGCCGCGCGTGCCCAAATCGCTGCTGCGGCAGCCCAGCTATGCGAACTGCCTTTCCCCTCTCCAAGCACTCGAGGGGAGCCCAACCTGTTCCCCTTCCTACCTTTTTCCTAGAGCCTCAACATTTCGAAAGCGTCCTCTTATCTCGACACGCACGAGAGCTTTTGAAGGATGGGGTGTCTGGGAGCACRGCACTTAACTTACAAGTCCTACAAGCCTGCAGAGCAAGGTGCGAGGTGCAAAGACACTTAACTTGGAAGCAAAATATCAGTGACAGAGCACTCGGATCCTTCACTGAAGGCCACAAATGACATGGTCTGTCTGCCAGCCACCTCAAGTTGTGTGCACCTGGCCAAGACTTCAACTGAGGCACCTCCTTCTTTCCCCAAAAGACGCTCCAATGCTTCTAAACCACAGGGTGCCGTCCGAATTACGGGGTTTGGGGAGCAGCGTGTGGGTCTGCCCTCGTACAGCGGCTCAGAGCTCTCCCTAGAATGGAGGTCCAGCTCCACCGAGGAGGTCCAGCACCACCACCACCTGGGTCCAGCGCATCCAAGGATCCGCATGGAGGTGTCATTCCTTCCCTAGGATGATCCTTCACAACCATTTGATTTGGCACCTCCGCCACACTCCCCCTGCCCGCCCGCCCAACATCCTTGGAGCATATCCAGCTCCATGCCCAAGGAGTCCTTTCCACGCTCCCACATGGCAAGGAGAGCAGAAAAMCCCCAAAACTGCCCTCCTTAAAAGGCAGGGGGGCAGATTTGGGGGCAAAAGGAGCAGGAAACGGTAAAAAAAAAAAGAGCGCTTTTCACCTGTTCCAGCTCACAGGCCCTATATGCTCCCTCCACCCCCATACGGAAGGAAGGGGGATTTTCGAAGSGGGGTGGTCCCCGCTATGGGGCCCAGGGTCTCCCCGCTGCCCGGTGCCGGGCCCGCCGGCGCCGCCACTCACAGAACTCGGCGATGTGGAAGGAGACGGCGTACTTCTCCTCGCACCACTCCAAGGTGGAGGTCGGCGGGCCCCAGTAACCTTGCCGGTCGGCGGCCGGAGCCATCGCGGAGGTGGCTCGCAGGCCCCGGAGACGAGACGAGAAAGGAAGGGGAAGGAGCGGGAAGGAGCGAGGGAAGCACCGGGCCCGGCCTGGCCGCCGCCGAGCGGGAACGGGGCGGCGCGGGGCCCGCCCGCCATGAGGCGGAGCCAGGAGCCGGGCCGCGCGTTGCCATGGCGACGGGCTGCGGCCTAGGCCGGGCCGCGGGGCCTCCTCATCCCGCGCCTGCTTTTTTCCTATGGGGAGAGGAAACATAAATAAATATCATTATTATTATGATTACTATTGTTATTATTATTATCATTATTATTTATTTGAAGCTAGGAGGGGAGGGACAAACATCGATACGGTTTTGTGCTGCCTCCTGCTCCATTAATTTTGCAGATGTGGGAGGGATGTTGCTGACTACCCCCCCTTTTACTTATTTTTCAGCAAAAATAAAGCAAACTTCGTGTCATTTTAGTGCCCCCCCTTCCTGATTTTTTTTTTCCCCTCCTGCACGTCATCCCCATGCAGCTCCCCCAGGATTTATCCCCCTTATCCCCATTTCCAGCGGAGTGGTGGCTGCAGAGCCCTCAAGGGATGGCATCACTCTCAATATGTATTTTTCAATTGCACCCCAATGTGTATTTATTGCACTTCAGAATTTATTGCAGTTTTTATATGTAAGTACCTTTTCTCAGGTCGCCTTGTCTCCCACAAGTTAACAAAAATCACATCTTAATTAATTGCAAGCATTTCTCATGCAGATACAAATCTTTCATCATGTGCATGCATGCTTGGTGAAGAATAACCTCTCCACTCCAGTGCAGACAGTGTATACCTTACTTTTCCCCCCCAGGAAAAAAATACATTTATTTCTTTTTTATTTTTCRTATAAAGTCCTAAACTTTCAAAGCAGATTGATTTTAGTGATGGCAAAGACAAAATGTTCCGATTGCGGAAGTGTTGTCAGAATTGCCGTGTTTTATTTTCATGCCAACCTGTCATTTTATTTTTGTATTTTTTTCTTTCTGAAATAGATTATCCATATTTAGGCCTTCACGAGTGAGGTTTGGAAGAGTACCAAACAAATTGAAAAGCACAAGAATGCCAGCAAACCAAGGATTATTATAGCTCAGTCGATGCACATCAGCTTTTTTCTTTTGATTTTTGAATACTTGGTTTCACTTTATGTTGTGTATGTTGTAACAAAATTACCAGGAATGTAGTCTGTTTTTTCTGATTGTGAATAACCGTTCTAAGATTGAAAATTAAGGACCAAAAAAAAAAAAAAAAGGAAAAAAAAAACTTGAAATTGCAATAGTTAGGAAACCAAAGAAAGAAATGTTAGCATTTCCCTTTGCAGATTCAGGATACCAAAACGGAAAGCCATGTGAAGAACAAGCAATGTTTACAATATGCAGTTACGGTTGCTTTTAAATAATAATTTACTAGATTGATGTTTTTTCCTTTTCCCAAGTGTATTCTGGAAATGAGAAGGTTTATAACCATAATAGAAGCAGAAGTCAGAAATGAAACTTGATTTAGAACCGAGCAATTAAAGTTAAATAAGTTTATGAAGTCGGTAGCAATGATAACATCAAATGTTATCCATTGTATTTTTTTCTAGATAGAAAGGAGAAAGTCAAAAATACATAGGGAGCCTTTTATTTGATTTTTTTATTTGATACATTTTTATAATACTCTCTATCACAATATTTATTTATTTCTGATTTATTTTGTGAGTTGCTTATTCATTTTTTAAATCTGGAAGATCCTTTAGCCATTTTACTCTCAGAAGGATAATGCTGAACACACAAGCAGAAACCATTATATACACACATTTTTTTTTCCTATGGCTGTTTTTTAAAGGTAAATCCATCTTCCACAAAAATGATGTGGACTGTTTGAACTGTTAGAATAATACATATTAAAAGTAATACCTTTCCTCTTTAATGAACTACATCCTATAGTGTACATTCACTATACTGGATATAATGTGACAGCCTGAAGTTATTTGCATCTAAATGTAATATCTGCGCCCAGGTGTTAGCTTTTCCTTGCACGATCTATAAGATATATCAAGAGAATGTCTTGTTCATGAAATAACAAGTATGAAAACAAACAYAGAGACCCTGAAATATTAATGTTCAATGTCACTAAAACTGTACTTCACAAGCTGGTGGAGTAATTCCCTGTGGTTTCTCCTGGTTGTCCATGGCAAAGGATCCTCTTTCTATAGTATTCTGTGTTGTTCTGCAGCCTCATGACTTGATCAGTTGAGTTAATAGGGTTATGCTAGTTCATTCTGCTAGAGATATGTCCTGTAAACATAGGCTGTGGGYGCATCAGGTTTTCGCTTGGGGTTAGGGAAAAAATATGTTAAAGAATGTTTTTGGCTGTTTYGTGTGTGTATGTGAGCCTGCAAAATTCAGAGGATGGCACCTCCCTGTAAAAGAACTTTTTTTCTCTTTCTGCTCTATGCAAATATTTATTCATGGACTTGTGGTTCTGGCTACTTAATTTCTATGTAAAATGAAACCAAACAAACTGGTTGACTAAAACTCATTACAGMCTCAGATGATGGAGCACATTGTGCACGCTCCCTCTCATCAGCATATGCATGCAAAGGGGGAGATGAGATAAATTTGGTGCAAAATCTTGAACATGTCTTCACTACTTTTTTTCTAGTAATGTTAAGATGAAGATATCAGCCCTTGATTTGCTTTAGGTTAACACCCACAATCCCAGCTTCTGCTGTGAAGAGCATGGTTCAATTCTATAGCTAGACCCAAAAGCATATTTTAGGGAAACATCTTTTTCTTCTCTATCCTTTTGCTGCAGAAGCCAACCTCATGGTTCCTAGCATGGATATATCCAAATAGTCTGTTGCCTTTCAAACTAAAGTTCAAGCAAATGATTACATCCACAGCAGGTCCTTTTTTACCAAATTATCTGGGATTGCTTGTAGCAATGAATTAAGCTGAAACATTGCCTATACCCAGTAGTTATTAGCCCAAAAACAGACAGAATATATAAGCGTTTCCAAGCACCTGCATCTTTCAAGCCAATAATTGAGCACRGAACAAAGTCGATGTCAATTAGTACTAAACTACAGGGCTGAAATYGTTATTAGAAGATAAACCTACTGTTCAGCCACTTTTCTGGTAGAAGCAGTTGGCTTTGGGAAGAATGTGAAAGAACAGTTTTTACAGTCACTTTTCTAGTCATCTGAGTTTAATTTACCACTGTGTATGAATCAGAACCCTCATCAGCTGCAAAACATCTATGCTAAATGTACACCAGCTCAACCTGAAATATCAAAAAATGAGGATCTGTCAACAGAAGGAGACATTCCAAAAGCACAAAGGATAGGTGCTTCAATCCCACTGACTGTCAAAGAAATCTGGGAATCACAGTCTATGCTTTAAAAAGGGAAAAACAAATGACATGAGAATTCATCCTTTACACTTGCAAACAGCTTTCTCCTAAACAAAAGTACAGCAAGCTGTCGTTTTTGCATGTTTGTTTACATGCACGGATCTCAGTGTGAAGATGACTTGTGTGGACTTTGTAAGCAGAATTTAAGAGTTTTAGCACAAATTGGATCCTACCCTTGAGGAGGCAAAAGGTGGATAACCTAGTGGACACTTAAACTTCCTTCGATCTGAACTGGTTGGAGTTGCTCTGTTAAACTTGCGTCTAAGAAAACCAGAGGAGATCTCTGTTTTGCAGTCTTTTTGTTGTTATACTACTCAGTGGAGGCCCCTGACGTAAAGGTAACATCTAAGCTCTTTACCTAAAACGTGGGAATAACGATATAACTGAGGATGAGATCTACAAAAGCCCTGCCTGCCATGGCTTTAATAAGCATCACTGAGCTGCAGGAGTGACACATCTGGGACACAAAAACCTGGACTGTCCTTTTCTTGCACATGGAAATCAGGAGTGGCCTTCCTCTTTTTTGTTCCTGTTCCTATTTGCTCCTTACCCTAAGAATGGCACTGAGAAATTATCTGGAGGAGAAGCATCACCGGGTCTATCTTAGAACGAACTGTTTCACGTGAAGGAGAGAGGAGAAGGGCTCTGGCAGCTCAGAGTAAAAGAAAACATTTACATGGTCTGCATGGTATCACGGTAGGGTGACAGAGAGGAAAGATGACCATTGTAAAACAAACTCAAAAATTGTGTAGAGCACCAAACTATCTTCTGCAAAACCACTACAGTCCCCACAAATTACATATTTTTGATTTGTGAAGGACACTGTGGTTTCCCTCTTTCACTCCACCTAGATTCATCCTGCTAATGTTTCTGTCACTAGTTTTTAAGTGCTATCTCCCAGTGTGTGTGTATATATATAAATATATATATCTACACACACACACACACACACACACACACACACACATATACATTCTTCTCAGCAATACTGTTTTTTGTGTGTGGCCAGCGGGAGGCCAGAGAGACAAAGGCTGCTCAGTGACTACTAATGCAGAAAAGGAAGCCCCCAAACACAGAAGGAGACCAAAGGCAAATTGTGAAGGCTAATTATTGCCTTGCATTAGCAGCAAGGAAACTCATGGCAGGAAAGGGATGTGCTAATCAGAGGTATGTGTAGGATAAGGGCTGAARCTTTTCTGACCAAAAGCCCTATCAGGAAGGGAAGTAGAGGAAGTAGCTTGTGTCAGTGCCTCATCTTTTCCTAAAATTGTTGCACTATGAAGAAGTGTGGCTGCAAATTTGTTCATTTTTTCTTTTGCWGTATAAACAATTAATGTCTGAACTTGGAAGGAGATACATCCAACCTCTTTCTCCACAAAACACCCAGCCAAGCCTGTTGTGCATTGCTGGATATTTTGTTCTYATAGGTAAGAAAAACAAATTCCTCCTTTTGCCACTCTTGGGAACCTCTGCAACAAAAGGGGGAAAACAGTATGAGCAAGCAAAACAAGCAAAACAGTATGAGCAAGTGTCAGTAAAGACCCTTGGAAAAAAATATCTTCAAAAGGATCTACCAGAAGGAA